TTTTATGATTTTAAATGTTAGAATGGGCTAGTAATACAGAAATAGCTTTTGAAACTGGAAGCAAACATTCATTACTATCTCCTTTATATTTTGTTATGTAAGCCAAGGTTTTTCATTATGGAGTATGGTCCTGTAAAATTCATTTTAGCTTGTGAAGTATACCCACTCTACTTACCAACATGATTAGGTCTGTAAAACCAGGTTATTACACAAAAATTAGCATTATGTAAAAATGGAGGATGATTATGTAACTGCCAAACCAGTAAGAATCATGGCCTAGTCAAGCTGACACATAACCTTAACCATCACAACCAGCATTGCTCTAGCTTCACACTTAAGCATTTGTTACTGCCAGACATAGTCGTCAATGTGCAAAATAGTCAGATTTTTTACTCTTGTTGTAAGTGAGCAATGTCAGATAACAAGATAGTCGATAAGAGAGGAGTATAATACAGTCAAGGATGTTGAGCTAAAATTAGGTAACACTGGATGATAATTTACCAAATGACAGGTCCTTTATATGTTACTCTCTACCCTAATCTTTACAATAACCCTATGAAGGCAGGTACCGCTGCTTTTACTGTCTTAACAGCTGAAGAGGATCACTGGTGGTGCAGTGGTTAAGCACTCAGCTGTGAACCAAAAGGTTAATAGTTCAAATCCCCCAGCCACTCTATGGGAGAAAAATGTGGCAGTCAGCTTGAGTAAAGATTATAGCTTTGGAATGCCTGTGTGCTCAGAAACTGACTTTAATCACATTTTTTATGGATTTTTTTTTAGCTTGAATTTTTGAGAAAAGGCTTATGAAGGTCATGTTTTAATCTCAATTATTTGGTAGGCCCATTTCAGAGAGAGAAGTCAATAAAATGAAATCACCTGGATCTCAGTTTAATTCATGTGTATGTTATCCCTGGGTGGTAGGGTTGGGTTTGTCTAATGTTTGTTTTTTTCCACACTTTTAAATGACAGGCTATCACTTTGAAATAGAAAAAAAAAAAAAACAACTTTTTTTTGTTAAGGTATAGACATAAATTTCAAAAATCTTACCTATAAATAATACTAAGCAGACCTCTATCTCCCTTTTATATCTACTCATTGGCTGTTGAATGATTTATTTGTACCACTGAGTGATGAACTATGTCTTGATTTTAAATACTAAGGACAGTTTTTGCTGAACTCTTCAGTCTTCTTTTAAATGGTGCCAAAAAAGATGGACAAAAATATTTTATGTTGGATTTTTGCATCTGACCTATCTTGACAAAATCACTTTCTTCCTCTCCTGTTAACTCAGGTTTTCTTTGCTATATTTAAACACTTTCTTGCCTGTTGTGTTTTAAATGCATTACTTTCAGTACTGCTACATTAGTTAACATTTTAAAGTCTGTGTTTCTTTTCTAGTTTAATTTCTACATCCCCGGATTCTGGGGCTGCTTCATTGCTCAAGGTAAAGGAATGCAGGGCCCAACCAACTTTCTGGAAGATAGAAATAACTGCTATCAGTTCTGGCTTTCTTCTTTTCATTTCTTCCATTAATAACTTGGGTTAAAAACTATGGTTTATATTTCATTGATTATTGGTTCTAAAGGCTCACAATTTTGATATTTGATATTTTACATTCTGTACCTAGTATTTACACAAAAAACACACATTCTGTTTGTTCCCCATATCTTACATAGTTCCCTTCCATACGTGATAAATTAGAAACAATCAGTCTCACAAGGATGTTTAACTGCTCGGTTTTATTTACTGTCTGAGGTATCTGTATTAATTTCTACTTTTCTACTATGGTCCTTAGGTAAAACATAAGTTTCTGATTAGGGGAAACAAACAATAAATGGATTTGTATTGACCACTTTAGGAAATAACTGCCTTATGCGATCTTGTAATCTTTATTAAAAAGAGGTTCAAAGAAACAGCACATTCAAACTTCCTTTGTTCTAATGCTATAAGACGACTACATTTGTAGAGGGTCTAAAAAGTAGTTAAGTGAAATAAATATCGTTGTGAAATAACACTTTTTCAACAAACCTATTTTGTTGGAATAGTTTATTTCTAAATATATCAGAGTTATGTTTTCTAATTAGTGAAACATCTCAAAAATCCAAAGTTATACCGATCAGATCTCACAGGCTCTGATATTCCTGCCTTTCCTATGCAGTGGTTGTAGAAACAGTAGGGAAATTTGAGTTCTTCTGGGATTTTTCTAATGTTAACTGCATTCTTATCTGGTATATTTTTTTTTAAAAAAAAGAAGATAGGTGTTGAAACCCAGTCTCTGCCCCCATTTAGTATAAAAAGTGTCCATTTTTTTTGAAAGGTGTTCTTGGTCTAACCTTGGTTGAAGTTAATTAATTCTTCTTATTGAATGGATGATCTAGATTGAGACAAATAGCAACTGGCTAGCTTTCTGTTATGCGCTTACCCTGTCCTTCCTATCAATAGCCTTTACTGAATGTGTGGTTGTTTTTCTCTATTAGCAATCAAAGTTTAACATAACAAAACTTATATTTTTGACCCCTAAATGAGTGATTGAGCTTCAAGTAACATCTTGAGAAAATACGAATGGTTACCTTCATTTTAATAACAAAGTTTACAATGTGCTTTTCAAAAATTGAGTTTTCAAAAGTTGTTTTCCTGCAGTGAGTACAGGAGACCCTGAATAGTGTGGGAGAAAAACGTGGAACAAAACTCAAAAAGTTGTTTTCAAAAATTGAGTTAGACCTGTTGAAGTTTTAATAGAACTTGCTTAGGCAATTAATGTTGCTCTGGGTGAAATGGACAACTACACAGTCTGTGCTGAAAGAGGAAGTGTTACATAAACCAGGACTGGAATCATAAAAATCCCTTGCATGTTTCTGTTTTTTGAGAATCTTTGCTCTTAGAAAATTGAAGTTGTTATCCCTTTACATCGTTGTCTGGGATTTAGTTCTTGCTTGGAAAGACGACTGCTTTGCCTCCTCATTGAGGGTATCTTCATTTATACATCAGGGATTGCTTTGCATGCATGTGAGGGATATACAGATCTCTCTGAACTAATGTATTCGTAAGGCTACACTTGCAGAGAAAAAAGTAGCACGCTTTTGAGGTACTCAGTTGAAGTTGAGAGCACCAGTCATTATAGAATTTAGATTGTATTGTGGGAAATTTCACTGAATAAAAAGGAACCCTTAAAAAAATGCTGCTTAATTTATTAATAAGTAAAGAAATGGGAGCTCTGGTAGTATAGTGCCTAAGGCACTTGACTGCTAACCAGAAGGCTGGTGGTTCAAACTCCAGCCACTCCTCAGAAGGAAGGCTGGGCAATCTACTTCTGTAGTGATACTGCCTTGGAAACTCAAGGAGGGGTCGCTGTGAGTCAGGTCTGACTCAACTGCACATAACAACAACAACAAGAAGTAAAGAAATCGGAATAAGCATGTGAAAAGATGTTGAGGAAAGACTCTTAATGACCTTTGCCAGAGTTCCTGTTTCTGATTCTCAGCCTGTGCAGGACTTGGTGGCAGGAGTGGTTTTCTGGAGAGCTCATGGGCAGTTAAGGTCCTAGTTACTCTGGACTGCTTGTGGATGGGAAGTGGACTACATTTTACCTACTCTGGTCCATTCTTAAAATTATTTTTTTTTTATATACAGTGATTCAGACATTAGAAACAATCTTTTAAATAGGCCTGTTTAGAACTAGGAAACTACTGTGAATTACTTTTTTTTCTCATGGAGATTTAATAGGTTATCTGACAAAAATACAACACCTCAAAACTGCCTCAAGACTAAAGGGTAGGACGAGAAAAAAGAACAGGAAATTGAGTGATAGATCTGTGTAAACATTGGCTGTTTTCATCAACTTACACAAACTTCCATTAAACAGTTGCCCCCAATACATGGATTCTAAACCCTCTAACAATGAAAAGTTTTTGTTCAGTAACCATATGGAGCTGCAAATGATGTTACCTGTGCACAAAAAGGGAGAAGTGGAAAAATGAGACACTCCTAGTGATCATGAAGAGCTTTCTCTATTTCTCTAGAAAAGTATTCCGGTTAAATCACGTCAACAAAATTGGGGTAAGTATGCAAATATTGAAAGATTGTTTAAAACTGCCTTCTCCTCATTCAGGTAGAAGTTTCTGGGTACCTTCAGGAGTACTATTGCTAGTTGCGTAAGAGTGTCTTCCCTTCATTTTCTTTTCTGGAAGAATAGGAATAATCCATTCTAGTACAGTATAGCAGTGTATGTAAAACTAGGCCTGAAGTCACCTACCTATACAATGTCTTAAATATTATTGGACATTCTTGTGGTTTATGAGCTGTAAAGAGATTTTTCCATTCCTCTGGACGATGGGCTTAGTAAATTAACCAACTTCCTCATGAAAAATTCAGTAATGGAATTAGAGGACTCTATGATTTTTTTTATATGAATGGAAAAAGCAAGGAAACATTAAATTTTAGCCTACAATTGGAGAAAAACAAGCACAAGGTATCGCTTAACCTATCAGAGGCTATGTTACCTTTTAAAATTCTCACCTTGCAGGAAGCTGAGTTTCGACTTCCTTTAACTTACTTATGACCTTGGGTGGGGCAGCAGGGAATGAAGAAGAACCCGGAAGAGCAATGCAAGACAGCGTGGCATATCTCTAACACTTTATCCACATAAAGAATTCTCACAGCCAGCAAGGTTACTTAAACATAAAAGGTTTTCCAGAGAAATAAAATCCAACTCCTTATTGACAGAATTATTCCTGTTTTTTATAAAATAAATTTTGGTATCAAATTATTTTGGACTCACTTGTTTCTAATGTTTTCTACATATTATCAAGACTTGCAAATCCGAGGTATTAAGGGTGTACTTAATAAATTCAGATGTGATCTTACCATCTGTCTAATGTTGGCTGACAAGTATTCACAAACACCATGCTTTGTGTGTGGGCACAATATAAACTTCTTTCCACAAAGGCAGTATATTCCAAAATAGATGTCTTAAAGCCATTGATGTGGCATTATAACATCAGTCAAGCATTAAGAAGTTCATCATCCGACTGCCCAGTAGCATCTGGGTTTGAAAGTGGATCCAAATCTGCAAATAGATTGAACAAGGCTGACATGTCTTGTTTATCATTGTTAGGGGCTATTAAAAAAAAGAAAGAAAACAAGATTAAAACTTCACACCTTTTTGAAATGTGCCTCCCCCTTTTTCTTCACTACTTTTATGATTTCGAAGTAGATGCTATTTTTGAGTCAAAAAAATTTTAAGACAACTAAAAAAATAAACTATCATCGGTGATATCCCCTTGAGGATAATTTTGAAATGCTAATACTGATACCTTGGGCTGCACTGAGGCTTCTAATATTTAAGGAATCCTCTGGGGCGCCGAAAAGGGTTTTGAGAGTGAAGAGGAAGGCAGTAATACAGTATTCTTAGAAACCTTAAGATATATTTATAGAAAGCTTTCAGATAAGGTTTAAAATGAAAGTAACCTTTGTTCGTACCAAGTAGGAGCATTATATTTGTAAACTCTATTTAAAATCTACATTTATTTGAGAAGTAATACTACAAAAAATACTAGACATAGGGAAAAAAAATCTCCCTAATCCTACATTATCTCATCCAAGAGTTGTCATTATGGTTTATAGTTATTTCTTTTGTCTTTTCCATGTGTACTTACTTAAAAAAAAAACAAACTGATGTGGGTCATGGTCACAAAGTGTCCCAGACTGCTCATTAATTTCAAGGGTGGATAAAAAATAATAAAACGTGTAATTATACAGGTGAGAAATCAGACAACACCTTGAACGAGTGGTCACAATTAACAATACCAGTGAGGGAGAAGTGGACATCATAAGCTTGCCGATACGATACCTTGAGATGGGTACACCATCAGCTATGCAATACTCCATTTATTTATTAATATTTATTAATCATGAGGAGACCTCAGAAAACTCTGAAAGATCAGTCTATTAAAAAGCAGTGAAGCAGATGCTCACATCCTGAAAAAGAATTGAAAGGCTATGAAAATTGTTAAGATTAAATGAGGCAGTGTTACTACAGAAGACAATACTAAATGCAATACCTGACCCTAGTCTGGATCCTTATAGGGTAAACTCAAAATTACAAATGACACATTAGAGGAAAGTATGTCAAGTTATGTGTTAAGTTTTGTTTTTTGTTTTTTTTTAATTGAATATTTAATTTTTGAATATTTATTATTCAAATTGAATAATTAATTGAATATTTAATTGAATACTGTGGTTATCCAAGAGAATACCTCTATACAAACATTTATTTAGGGCTGATATATACGTGGGGGAGAAGAGAGATGGGGACTTTATAAAACAAATGGGGTAAAATATTAATAGGTGAATCTGGGGAAAGGGTACACAGGTATTCATTGTGCTATTTTTATTTAAGGAGCTCTGGTAGCATAGTGCCTAACGCACTTGATTGCTAACCAGAAGACTGGTGGTTCAAGCCCACCAGCCACTCCTCGGAAGGAAGGCTGGGCAATCTACTTCCATAGTAACATCGCCTTGGAAACCCAAGGAGGGGTCGCTATGAGTCGGGTCTGACTCAACGGCACATAACAACAACAACAAACAACAACAACATTTTTATTTATGCAATTTATATTTCAAATTCTTTACAAATAAAAAGTCTTTAAAAATACACCTCAGTGACTAAGATGAATATATATATGATATTTATATATAGTAAGAACTGACTCCACAGCACACAACAACAGTCCTGCAAGCCAAGAGTGTGTGTGTATATCCTGTGTATATACCCATTATTACATATACCCATTCTGCTAAGACACTTGCCTGCTAACCAGACGGCTGGCGGTTCAAACCCACCAGCCACTCCTCGGAAGGAAGGTTGGGCAATCCTACTTCCGTAGTGATACTGCCTCGGAAACCCAAGGAGGGGTCGCTATGAGTCGGGTTTGACTTGATGGCACATAACAACAACAACAATTCTGCAACCTACTATAACGGTAAGTACTCAATATATGTTATCAATTACTGTGTCACTTTGAAGACTGAGGTGTGCCCAACCCAAGCCATGGCATTCAGTTGCCTTATATGCATGTGAAAGCTGGACAATGAATAAGGAAAACTGCAGAAGAATTGATGCATTTGAATTGTGGTGTTGGCAAAGAATACTGAAAGTACCAGAAGTACGAACAAATCTGTCATGGAAGATGTGCAGCCAGAATGCTCCTTAGAAGCGAGTATGGCCACACTTTGTCTCACCTACTTCACTCGTGTTGTCAGAAGGGACCAGTCCCTGGACAAGGATATCATGCTTGCTAAAGTAGAGGGTCAGCAGAAAAGGGGACAACCTTCAATGAGATGGATTGGCACAATAGCTGCAATGATGGGCTCAAGCATTGCAAGAATTGTGAGGATGGCAAAGGACCAGCAGTGGTTTGTTCTGTCATTATGAGTCGGAACTGACTGGATGACAACGAACAACAACAATACCTACGCTAAGTGCCTGAATGCATTTTTGTTGATAAAGCCAAAGCCAAACCCACTGCCATGGAGTTGATTCTGCCTCACAGTGACCCTATCTATAGGCATCCTGTAATGAAAAAACATTTTCAGTTTAGGCCAAGATGGTGATGGAAGCAGCTGAAAGCTTGCCCCAGCAAGCAAGGAAGAATGTATTAGAACCAACAATGGACTCAGAACTCTGGAAACCAGTACAAGAGTTAATAGCATCTAAACAAACACTGAAGCAAGAATAAGGTGACATTCATGGTAGGAAAATGTGTTTGTTGTATAATATGATCTTCTACCTCCGTGGCAGTGAGGGCTATGACAGATCTCATGCAGCCACTTGTAAACTGTGAGCTGTACTCCCCTTTGCCCCAGGAATATGGGATCAGACTTGGCTTATGCTGGCAGACTGTTGTGTGTGATTCTTCATATCTGTCTAAGGCCTGCTTAATGAACAGAGGCAGTGGGGAGGAAGAAGTGAAATGCCTGCAGGCTGTAAGTGCCTTGATTCACCTGGGAATATCAGCATGACTGAGGCAAAATAGGCTTCTGCGTGCCAACAGAGAAGGGCTGGTATGAGAATCTCTAGCAAGAGTTAGAACTTTGAAATTACTGTGATGCAAATGGTAGATGAAGATGTTTCTCCACAAAATCTATTGCCCAGAAAGATTGCTTTAGAATGAACTATTTTGGGACTCTGGAAACAGATCACGACACTTAAATCAACCAGAAAAGTGCTTAACGAATGGGATAAGCTGCTGATCCCTATGTGAATTATAAATGCCAACTCATTACTGAGCCCCACCACTGAGGTGGGGGTGGCAACCCTATGTCCCTAGTGGGGCTGGTTGATGCCAAGGTGAGCAGTGGAGACCCTTCCCCTTAAGGTTTTATGGTTGCACAGTGCACAGAAGGATTAATCTGGAGGTGCCCAGTAAGGTCAGAGGATTGCAGAGATTTTGGCCCTTTCTCAGTAATGCCTTGTCCCTGCTGGCTAACTCGAAGGGCTAGCACGCCCTCTGGTGGAATCACTCAGGCTACTGACTGACTGCAGAGATGAAAGAATAGAACTGTACACTTTGCAAAAAGTTACTAAACAATCCACTGCAGGATATATCGGGTAACAACAGCAATTCTGGAGCCATTGGGGTATCAGGTAGTTTCTGTATTCTGTTGTTTTCTCCTTGAAGTACAAGAAAATCCCTTCAGAACACTTGAATGTGTGTTCTGGATCAGAGTCCTTGATAATATTCACACATATTTTGGAGGGCAGTCTCATCAATAATAGAGGAGGCTGCTGAGCAGATGGACTGTTACGGGCTTTGACAATTAGGGGTTGGTGGGTGGGTAGACAATTGCATGCAATCCATAGAGAAAGAGAATGAAAATAAAATAGAGACTAGAAAAACAATAGAATCGACATGTAATAGCATGAACAACTAACTGTGCCAACAAAGTAGATAACTTAGATGGAATGGACAAATTTCTAGAAACATTATCTGAACTGACTCAAGAAAAAAATAGAAGATCTCAACATACTTATAACAAGTGAAGAGATTGAATCAGTAATCAAAAACCTCCCAATTAAAAAAAAATAGTCTTGGACCTGCTGTCATCCAGGAGAATTACTGGCACCAGCCTTGCTCAAGCTCTTCCAAAAAACGGGAGAGGAAGGAACACTTTTTAACTCATTCTATGAGGTGAGCATTACCCTGACACTAAAACCATATAAAGACACCAAAAGAAAACTATTGAACAATATCTCCTATAACCATAGATGCAAAAATTCTCAACAAAATACTAGCAAGTCCAACGACATATTAAAAGGAATATAGAACATAACCAAGTGTGATTTATTCCAGGAATGCAAGGGTGGTTCAACATTTGATGGAAGGAAGGAAGAGAACCATATGATCATCTCAGTTGACACAGAAAAGGCATTTAATAAAATCCAACACCCTTTAATAATAAAAATATTAAATAAGCTACAAATAGAAGGGAAATGTTAAATATGATAAATGGCATTTATGAAAACTCCACAGCTAACATTCTTAACAGAAGGGTTGAGTGCTTTCCCTCTAAGTTTGCACAAAAACAAGAATGCCTGCCTGCTCTTATCACTGCTATTCAGTATTATACTGGAAGTCTAAGCTAGAGCAATGAGGCAAGAAAAAGACATAAAGGTATCCAAACTAGGAAGGAAACATTAAAAACTATCCCTATTCACAGATAAAAAATCCTATAAAGAGCCTATAAAAAATCCCAGGGAATCCATGAGAAAGCTTCTCTCTAGCAAATACAGAAATTCAGCAAAACTGCAGGGTACCAAATCAATACACAAAAAGCAGTTGTGTTACTATACACCAGGAAAAAGCCATCTAAAAAAGAAATTAAGAAAACAATTCTACTTTAATAGCATCTTAAAGGATAAAATACCTAGGAATATATTTAACCAGGAATGTAAAAGACTTCTTAAACAATGAAAATTATAAAACATTACTGAAAGAAATTATACAAGACCTAATTAAATGGAAAACCATTCTGTGTTCATGGATTGGAAAACAATATGATTAAGATGTCAATACTGCAAAAGTGATCTACAGATTCAGTGTAATCACTATCAAGAAT